GGACCCGCTGACTTGAACGCGTCCAGCCCCTCCAGAAGCTCTCTAACCCGGTCCTCCCCAACCTGAGGTCTGAAGGCGATCCCCTCGAGTCCGGCTTCTATCACAGCAGGGAAGTCCCGGTCCCTGCACAAGAAAACGGAGGTGAAGAATTGGTTAAAGAGGTCCGCGTTCTCCTCTGATGCAACCACCAGATTGCCCAGCGTATCCTGCTTGGTATACTGCCTTCTGCCAAGAGACTAATATGATATCCGTAGGACTGACTTTCCTGGTACTGATATAGTTGGTACCTGACCTGTCGTGCTTCCAGCCTCAGCAGCATTTACTGCCTTCAGCACATTTACAGACATACTGGAAACACTGGAGCCAGAGGCCCCTCTGCCCATTGTTTCTTCCTTTTCAGTAGCATCTAAATCTCTCTCCTGGTGCCTCACCCACCAAATATGACTGTTTGGTCACAGGGGTAAGTCTCTTGGATAACTGTTATAGGTCTCCAGGGATCAGCTTCATAGGGCCAAAGTCTTTGCGAAGCCTGCTTTGCAAGCCCTATTAGATGTTTCAGACACTGCTGCAAGAGCCATCCCTGTGCACAGAGCAGCTGCCTACAGGCCTTGGGTCCTCCTAAGAAGTCCAGACTACAGCAGTGCTTCATTCTCTGAGGTTAAAGACCTTTACTTGTAAAAGAGGTAAAGCACTGTGCTTTTGAACAGATCCCAGAGCAAGGTTTTGTTCCGTGGGCCTATATAGCCCAGCCCATAGAAGGAAGCAGTTCAATCCCATAGCCTCATGTGAGGCATAAGCCTGCTGCTTTTGTCCCTGACATTGGGCCCTTAGCTTCTGCTGTCAGCTAGGCCTTTATCCTAAAAGCCATACTTACTAAATGCACAATTCCAGCCCTCTGTGAAGCCTCTGTACAGGAAATTCATCATTTCTTGGGTCTTGGCCAACGTGGAGCCTGCTGTTGTTACTTTATCATGAGCTCTCATTGTTTAAACCAGAAGCAAGCATTAAAGCTCCCTTGAGAGTAAGTATAGAATTAATGGGCTAAAATCACAGCGTTTTTAACACTAGAGTTTTCTTTTTCTGGGGTTGAAGGGAGAGTTAATGCAAGAGAATTAACTCAAAAACTACCTTTTCTTAGGACTCAAAAATTAGCTGGAGGCCACGTGTGTGCCTGTGTATACCAGGCCTGGCACTTCCATCATCAGGCCCTGATCTTTGCCCCCCATGTCACAGACTTTAATGGGCTTCGCCAAGAGTGCTGAAAGTAATTTATTGACAGGGTAAGGAAGTAACTTCCTGACAAATCTCAGCGTGTCAGTGGGACTGCAGCTGTCAGGTCCTAAAGAGGAGTGTCAAAGTCGATAAGAACTGTGCATGATTTTACTTTTCATAGATTGGACTGATTTTATTCTAACTGCTGAATGTTTTGGTATACTCATTTATCAGTCTTTCAGTTTAGGGCAGGGGTGCTCAGCCTGTGGCCTGCAGGGATCCCTCTATGGATCAGAAAATTCAGTAGTGGGGGAGTGGTAGAAGCTCTGCGCATCTGGATCTAGCTTTGCCCAGGCCAGTGCCACGCAGTAGCTTCAGGTCCAGGCCTGCCCCCACGTATCTGGATTGGGCCAAGATGCTCCACATCCCCACCCCTTCCACATGTCCCAGGCCCATGCCACTGCCCCCTCCCCCCCGCCCCCCCCAGTAGATGGATTAGGATTGGGCAGCACACCCCCTCACAGCTGCATCGGGCCGCGTCTCGCCAACCCCATGTACTAGATGGGGCCCACCAGCCAGATCTGGCCCATGGACAGACTGGGACCTTCCATCCAGCCCACAGAGCAAAAATGTTGGGCACCACTGCATATGGGAATGAGTTACTAATTTTGAGTGTTATATATTTGGAATATATTGGCAGTGTTCAGACTGCACTTGTTATTATATGGTGTTTTTAATATCTTAAGTGATAAAAGAATGTGTTGTAGCTTTCATAGTTTCATAGTTGGTCGGGTTGGAAGGGACCTGAGCAGATCATCACGTCCAACCCCCTGCCATGGCAGGAAAGAGTACTGGGGTCAAACGACCCCAGCAAGGTGATTGTCTAGCCTCCTCTTAAAGACCCCCAGGGTAGGAGCCAGCACCGCTTCGCTTGGAAGTTGGTTTCAGATCCTAGCTGCCCTGACCGTGAAGTAGCGCCTCCTGAAGACTTTCCTGGTCCTCTTGTCTGCTCCAGTGGCCTCTGCTATTTCTATACATTCATTTTGTAATGCCTTCCTTCAAATAAATGGATTAAAATAAATTACCACAAACTCCTCTCTGTAATCTCCTAAATAATGGGTTCCTTGAAAAATGCAAGAGCAGGGTCTGAGCTAGGCTCCTTTAGGTTCGCTGCTCCTGGCTGAGGTCTGCAGCTGAACCTCCGCTACGGACTGAGGAATAATCAAGTTGATATGTGATCAAATCCCTGACGTTCTCAGACTGTCTAACAGAATAATATTCCTAGACACTTTTTCCCTGGGGAGGTTGAAGTTCTCATTTTGCTTCTGTTAATATAGTCAAGAGAATTAGAGGAAACCAGAGAAGAATTGCTTTTATTTCTTTAAGTTGTGGAAATTCATCCTGGCCATTTTTTATACCCTGTAGATCACCTCACAACATTACCCCATGTGCAAAAGTATTTAAAGTCTGTTCGCTACATTGAAGAACTTCAAAAGTTTGTTGAAGATGACAACTACAAGTAAGTACCACCTCTTTCTCTACCTCTAGACAATTTAATAGAAAGATGGCCTGGCTGTTAGTTCTGAGTAGGAGTCGCATAGAAAATCTCTGGCAAAAATGTAAGTATATTTTTAACGTTTTTAAACAGAGTTAATATTGTCAAGGCCTGAGTAAAACCCCAGCTGGATGTTATCCTCATGACTCTCATGTCATTCTAAAATGAGACCTCTGCAAAAGTTAAAGGCAAAAACTAATAAAAGTCTCATTTGTTTCATTGCACTATAGCCCTTCTTAGAGAATAATACTCAGGAACCCTGAAACTGGTGTTTCTGTTGGAACTCTGCACAACTCAGGTTAAATTACCTGATGCTACTAGAATAGTGTGAACCATTTTTAAATGCAAATGAATAATTATGCTAGGCTGACACACCATCAGTGATTCTGATTTTGTCAGACTTCAACTAAACCTAAAGCAACACTTACGGTGATGTCGAGAGCAAACCTGGTCACCAGCCTCAAAGCAACGTACAGCATGCAGGAAAACACTTCGGTGTTCCAGAGGAGACATAAGAGAATCATGGTAGAATAGCCATCCTGACCAGAGCACATGTATTGAAGGGTGTGTGTTTGTTCAAGAAAGACAGAAATTAAAATGAAGGTGATTGCAGGAGAATTTTACCTTTTTGATACAATAGAGTATAAAGAAATAAGCTAGGGTAGCATGGAGAGAGCAGAATTGAGTCACCTACTTCCAGGAATGATGGTCAGAGAGGTTCTCTGGGTTACAGCTGAGTCAGCAGTAGCCTCCTAGGGTTACATTTGGAGATGGACAGAGATCTTGGTAACGTTACCAAAGAGAATAAAAAGTACTAATTGAACTGTGTCATTATGGGAGACTAACTTCCCAGCACTAGAGAACAAATACTGTTAAAAATAGTAGGGCACATGTACTCCTAGAGTTAGGAATCAACAGCTTTCTTCACCAAATAGATGGTAAACTAACAAGAGATTATTCCATTTTGGTGTTAGGTTGGAAAAGTAGTGTCTTTTTAGAATAGGTTATGGAGAGCGGATGCATCTACATGTGCACTTTACTGTGGAGTCAACTAATTAGTTCTGCAGTAAAGCATCACAGTCTATACTTGCACTGGTATTAGGGTGCAGTAAATTACATAACTGTGCTGTAAGATAATACTGTTGAGCACAAGTACTATCCTATGGCAGAGTAATTATGTGTGCTGAAACACACCAGTAGACAGTGACAGGGCCTGGCTGGGCCTCAGGGATGCTGAAGTGTGGGGACTGCCTGCCACCTAGCTCCGCACTTTAGCACCCTCATGCCCCAGCCAGCCCCTCCACCATCCAATGCTGCTGCCTGGAGCCTGGGGCTGACCCTCTAAATCCCCTGCTCAAGCTAGTGCAGTCCCAAGCACGCGTGCAGATGTGACACCCGGGAGCAGCAACCCTGACTCTGGTACAAACTGCGCCGGAGCTTATCACATTACCTTAATGGCACATGTAGATGCACCCAGAATAGGCCTTCTAGAACCGGCGGTAGGCAGACAGATTTGAAGATGGTTAATTACCCTTTCTTGTCTACTTCCAAACATCACATCAAGTTGTGAAAGCTGTTCTGTTCAGCTTCAGTTTAGACCAGTGCAAATATACTACTGTTCCTCAGGCAAAAACAGTAACTGAAATGAGGCAATTGTGATAAACTCTGGGATAATTAATAATGTAGTGTGGAGCCACGCAGGACATGAACGTGTTTGGAATTTTACTCTGCTTTTAGCTGAGAAAATTATTCTAGAAGAGATAGCATGCGGAGCAGATGTTCTTCTGTAAGTGATACCAGGGCTGCATTGAGCGTGTCAGACAGACTTCAACTGGAGGGACTAGCTCTCATAATTTGTCCTGTTGCTTAGGTAAGCCTCTAGCAAATGAAGCCAAGGCACTGTCATCCTGTTCACTGCAGAGGATCATCCTTGTCTGTGGTTTTGACAAATTTATATTTTTGGATCAGACTGAAAGCAGATTGTAGGAACACTGTTTTTATACCAGAATACTGTTTCATGTATTGCACTGTCTTCCAAACGGAAAAAATGTATCTACAGAATTTTTTTTCTCAACCGCAACTTATCTGCTACAGAAACTGAATTTGTACCAGAGTACTCATGGCAGAACATGTGTGCATTTCCATCTTTCTTCCTCCCTGTATTATAGTTACTCTGCAGAGTGTGAGAGATTTTCACACTGAACATTTGTACATTATGCTCCCTTGTAAAAGAAAAATGCAATCTGAGCTTTGCATTACAGTCTGCCTTTCAGATCTTTGTTGCATATTAGGGTTTAAAAAGCAGGAATTTTATTTACTTGTTTCACATATGTTTGCATACTTCATTAAATGAAGGCATGAAGAGCACATTAGGGAAAAGGTGAATGGTTGTTATTAGTAGTCTTTACAACTTCTGGACTAAATGCCAAGAGACTGAAAACGTTGCTTAATTTTAATTCTTGGACAGACTTTCCTGTCCATGCAACAATGTTAAAAAGATATAGACGGTAGTTTTTCATTAGTTTCAATATCTTTGTAAAAAAGGAACAAAACAAATGGTCCTTATAAATATTTAGTACCATGACATAATACTTGGAAGAATTACAAGTCATGAGTAATTCCCATTTAAATTTTTTGAAAGTCATTTTAATCCCAATAGAGGTTTCCTCACAACATTGAGAGGTGTTTATGTGTATTTTTAGGGGGCATTCAATCCTTTTCCCTTGGTCTGGACAGCTGGGAAAGTACATTCTTTGAGCAGATCTTTTTTTGCTTGTTTTCTTTCTAAGCCAGAGCATGTCTAGGGATAGATTCACTAAATACAGAGAGAACCTTAAGAATGAAAGGAAACCAGGGCAGAACCTGATACCTAATGTCGTAATGATGTCTGTAGTTTCTTGGAGCTGCTCATGGGGAATTCAGACCTTGTGCTGCCATGTGTGTTTCTTCCAAAACGAAGTCTTCCCTCAAGGTGATTTGTCTTCATCCAAAATCTAGCCCATGTTAGTCCTTAAAGTTCAGTCTTTTCTTTCTCTGAATTTGAAGACAGGTTATGGACTTCTTTATAGAAATTTCACTCAGCATATTCCAACATGTTCCTCCTCCATAGATCTTAGGTTTCCTGTTCTTTTCTGCTTCCGTGCCAGCAAGAACTGTGGGCATTTATAGACCTGCTTTGGGAGATGACGGGGCGCCTTAATTAGTGCAGTTCTTGCTGCACCAATTTAAAGTACCTGGAGCATCATGTGTATCAGCATCCCCATGCTGAAAAATGGCGGTGGGGTGCTTTGAACTAAAGCTTATTGAACGAGCTGTAGTTTAAAGCCCCCCACCACTGTTTTTCAGTGCAGGGACACTGGTACACACGACACTGGAGTCTGCTGGAGCACAGTAATTACACGCTCCAGCAGACTCAGTTAAATGGGTCTGCTCCAACGCGCTGTAATTACAGTGCATCAGAGCAGCCTCCCTGCACGTGTATAGGCGCCCTATGGGTTCTGTGAAGGCCACGGGAATTCAGTCTTTGTAGAATAAAAACCTTCTCTCTCAGTCTCTAGTGATGTTTCTTGCAGAGCAAAGAGCAGCATTAGCAGACTGAGGAGGGAGCAACATTGATCTTTGGCAGGAAAGGTGGGATTAGCTCAGTAACAAGCCTTGAGAGAGAGAATCTCAGAAAATTGCCCTAAAATATATGGGCAGGATGCCAGCATGCACACTTTCCCAGACCAGGACCAAGGCAGAAAAATCATGCATCTACTTCACACAAATATATTGTATCAGTTGAGAGGTTTGGTTTTAGTTTCTACTTGTGGGAAGGTGAAGACTGTACACAAAACCTTTGCTGTTGTGTCATCTCCTGAATACAAGGGGATCGTTCCTTCATAAGCCCAGACATCTCTGTCAGCAGGTGGAGAAACTGGTGCTCTTGCTGGTGAGACAACACCAAAGATAGAAAAGGGGCTGGAGACAACAGATGTGCTCCTAGGATTGTAGCTTTTCATTGCTGCATACAGCTAATCGCTGACAACCCCCGGGTTGCTCGTCTCCCATAGGTCACAGGGAGAATCCCAGAAGTCAGGAAATAGGAAACCACGTGCAGCCTTTCCCTTGCTGGAACGGGGTGATGTTCCAGAAAAGCATCCAGTCTTGACTGGAAGACATCAGGTCCTGGAGAAGACATCGTTTGCCTTCACGGGTTGTTCAAACAGTAGAGAACGCTGGCACTGTTAAACCCCCCCATCTTTTTTCTAACCGTAAGTGGTCTGGTTTCAGTTTCCAGCCCCTGGTTCTTTGTACGCCTCTCTCCTCAAGATATAAGAGTCCTTTGGCACGTGCTGTTCTATCCCCATGAATGTAATTAACACTGCAATGAAGTAACTTCTTGATCATCTTTTTTTTTAATAAGCAAAACACCTTGAGCTTTTAGTATCTGGCAGTTTCTCAGCATCTTTTCTAAAGTGTGTGAACTCAAAGTAGTATTCTGGTACTGGTCATGTAAATGGCAAGAACAAAGGCAGAATTGTCTCCCTTCTCCCACTAGCTGGGTCCTTCGTTTTTACCTCCAAGGACCATAGGAACTTTTTGCCACAACATCACACTTAATGTTCGTGTTCAGTTGCAGTTACCCGTAACAACCATATCTCATCAAAGGATGACATTGGAGTAGTTGGCATGGCATTTATTCCATAAAGTCATGTTTGCTGGTGTAAATTGTATTCCTGTAATTTATTTTTGTGTCAAGTGACTCCTGTATCAGATTTTTCTGCTCGGTTGTTTGGGATTAATGTTCAGCCTAGAGGCATGTAATTGTCTATTGACCCTACATCCACACTTGCCACATCTTCTGAAATTTCCCCAGTGTTCAAGGTTTTTTAAAAATTAAAATTGCTGGCCATAGATTTTCTCAGGTAACTCTGTTAGGCCTCTAAGTGCAAGTTATCCAAGCCTGCTGGGTTAAAAATCCT